TAGAAACTAAAACTGTAAGGCTAGCGAAAGTATTTTTCTTTCTATAACTGTTAATGAACATTCCACGATGAAAAACTCATTTCCCACCACGCCAAACTTTCCCTCCCGCTTAAAAAAAGGGAAAGGTTTTCCTACCCACTTCGTAGAGGTAATTTATGAAAATGATTACGGCCATAGTTCAATATTCAGCTCGTTAAATTTTCACAAGGAATTTTGATTTGTCGACTTATCTGATTTTCCTAACTTATTATTTTCAATAGGCGGAACACAGATTCATTAAGGAAATTATTATTAATTGTAATAGAAAATCTTTTTAATAATAAAGAAAAAAAAAACTTGGAACTACCTCACTGGCACCTATGGTATTTATAAAAAAAGTTAGACTGTTAAATTGGACATGAATATTATGGAGTTATGTTTTTTGGAAAATATTGTGCTTCAACATCAATAAAGTAGGGTAGACTGGGCACGATTGTGGCAGTCGTCATATAATTGAAACTATAAGGAATTTTCAATAGATTTATACCTGTTATGTTTTTTTAAAGTTTATAGGTTCTTTTTCAAATTTTAAATATAACTGTTAATTTTTCTTCTTTTAATCACTAATTTTTAATTTTAATGGTTTTTGACAACTTTTCTTTTTGTGATTTTTAATATTTCAACTGCGCTTTTTAACTTTTCTTCTTTTAATATTAATTTTCAGTTTTTAAAACTTATTTTAAAATTTTGTTCTTAAAATCATTAACCTTTATTTTATTTGTCTTTGTTAACTTATGTTTTTTTTAATATTTAATTTTCAATTTTAATGTTTTTTGTCGACTTTTCATCTTGTGATTTTTAATATTTAAATTGTACTTTTTAACTATTCTTCTTTTAGTAGTAATTTGTAGTTTTTTAAAAGTATTTTTAGGTTTTATTCTTAAAATCATTAACTTTTATTTTAATTGTCTTTATTAACTTATGTTTTTTTTAATATTTAATTTTCAATTTTAATGTTTTTTGTCAACTTTTCTTCTTGTAATTTATAATATTTAAACTGTACTTTTAACTTTTCTTTTTTAGTTTATGCATCTTTAGGTTTTGGAATACTTTTCCAGTTTGAAAAGTATGCCATCTCGTCCTCTTTATAAAACTGGTAATAATAAAATAAAACGAAAAGTCACAATAAATCAATGAAATAATTCTCTGCAACTTTTTGAACCATACCGCTGATCATTTATTATTTTTAACCTGCTTAAAACTGAAACTTGTTGGTAAATGGCTTCTTTATTTATTCGACCCCCGGCCTATTACGACAGACCATAAAATGCAGGCAAGATATTTGACTGCATGGCGATAGTGACGAAGTTGTTTTCATCGCACCGAATGTGAGAAGAAGGGGTGGACTTGAAAATATTGCTTAATTAGTGAGCTAAGTACACCAGCGAAGTAACGCTTAAATATAAAACAAAGTCCGAAAAATCTTTCTTTAAGATACGTTAATTAAAAACCATCTAACGCTATTCACTAATTAAAACGCCTTGCTTTAGGAATAACTGCTAGAAAATTTTAATAAGCATTCTAAAAAGACTCGATGAAGATGGAATTATAATGAGGATGTCCTTGATGGTAACCCGTTGCAAATAAAGTTCACTAATTAGACCAAATTAACCCTTAACAAATTTTCTATTTCAAGTAACTTCAAAGCTTTTGTAACGAAGGACGATGAGAGACCTTGTAACCGAAGTGGAACTTATTTTTATTTATTATTTTTAAAATCTGAAAATGTTTTCATACATCAAATGTATGCCTGCTTAAAAAGAGTAATGCTGCATAAAAAACTCATATAAAACTTATGACTTGTCCACAGTAACTCTTCACTTAATTAAGTATTTAAATCGCTCATATAATGTAAAAAGTAGAGTACAAAAATTTATTATTTATAGAACGAACATTAGACAATAGGCTATACAAACAACAAGATATATTGCTGGTAGATCACAAATGTTGTCTAGCGTTAAGGACTGATATTTGAAATCTGACAGTTCTAGGGGATTTTAGGAATCCATCATCAAACTTTTGACCTAAGAAAGTTAAAGTTGAGTTGTTCCAATTTAATAATGATGATAATAATACTTTATTTATTCTGGGACAAGTCCCTTTAGCGTAATATACTGAGATAAAAATGTGGGCTTGAGAGCCTCACAGAATTATCACAAAAAATAAAAAGAATAGACATAATAAGCTATCTTATAACTTCTCGATTAACAAAAGAAAATGAAATAAAAATATTTAAAAAGACCTTTTTAAATCTATTTACAATTTTATGGAAATTGAACGGATAGGAGGTGATTGAATACGCGAGATTTAAAGATGGAGAACGTATTGGAGCGACGGATGTACTGAGAGATGGAATTCCATAGGGATGATGATCGGATAATGAAAGATCTGTGGAAGGCAGCGGTTCGGTGGGCTCTTATATACAAATCCTAAGACCGAAAACGGGTTTTACGGGAGTAAACATAGGATTTGAATTGAAGAAGCTCGGAGATGTATGAAGGACGATGGGATTGGATGACTAGGAAGAGGAAGGGATCTACAAAGTACTTATGACGGTAGGAAGGATAAAGTCACTTTAGCTCTGCATAAAAATGGGTGTCAGAGGCGACCCTTGGGATCCTGAAGACGAATCGTACAAAGCAATTTATCAAACATATTAGTTTTGCTTCGAGATCCCCAGAGACGTCCCCATATATCGTACAGCAATAGTCAAACTGGGTAAATATTAAGGAAGTGATCAGCAGTTTACGGGTTTCAAATGGGAATAGGTGGCGGAGGTAATTTAGACGTTTTAAAGGGTTTGATCAAAGGTTATTTATTCCAAGGTTCTTAACGGTAGGATAAATTTCGATAGGATTATCATGTAGGAGCAATGTTGGAATTTTAAGAACAGTTTTAAGGAGTTAATTGGAGCCTATCAAAATGGCCAGATACTTCTTCGCATTCAACTTCAACTTATTAGCTTCCGCCAGTCACAAATTCTGTTTAAGTCATATTGAAGTTTTTTTGGTCGTTGCTAATTTAATGCAAGTGATATAAATATATTATCCTATAATGCTTCAAAAATAAAAATAAAATGTTTTTTCAACATCCTATCGTATCGCGAACCCTTGCATATCTAAAAATTCTGGAAGGAATAGGTAAGATGGTCCATTTCCACTTTGTCGGAGGGGAGAGGGCGAGGGGGAGCGAACGCCTTTCCAATAAAAATAGAGAGGCACGAGAATATCGTTTCGCCCTCCAATATTTTGAAGATTGAAAAAAAAATAATCTACATGAATGAATAAAATATGTAAACTAAAATTATTTAAAAAATAGGCAAAGTCGACTAGATGGCTAAGCTAAGGCCTAGAAGTAGGAACGCAAGTATTTTCATATTATTTAAATTTTATATTATATTATTTGTATGCCGATGTTACATGTGTCCTATCAGTTAATAACGACCCAAAAATTGCATCCCAAACCCTTCAATCACACATCACAAACCTTGAAGAATGGTTTCAAAACTGGAGGATCAAAATAAATTCCAATAAATCCCATCAAATCACCTTTACCCTTCGCCGTAATCCTATGTCCTCTTGTCCTACAGTATCCTTTAACAATACTCCACTTATCCCTGTTGAACAAATTCGATACCTTGGACTCCAATTAGACAAACGTCTAACTTGGAATCCTCATACCAGACTGAAACGATAATAAACAGCTTGACGTTTCCGACTACTTCAGCACTTACTAGACAAACGCTCTCAGCTCCCAGTCAATTACAAAAGACTCATATACATGACTATAATAAGAACTATTTGGACTTACGGAATTGAGCTCTGGGGTTCCACTAAGCCATCTAATTCCTCTCGTATCCAATCCTTACAATCCAAAATCCTCATAGCTCCTTACTTTGTCACAAACAAAATCATCCATAACGATCTTAATGCTCCTTATGTTTCTGACCTGGCCCAATCCAGATACCTATCCTTCCATAACAAACTTCAGAACCATCCTAACCCTCTCGTTTCTAACCTTGCTTCCTTTTCGATCCCTGACAACCCTCCGAGGCGTCTGAAAAGAAGATGGCCTCGAGATCTCCTTTTGTAAATACATTTTTAGAGTGCTACCAGTGGGTAGTTTCTCAACAAGTGATTTCATGCTATGATATTCTTTTGTTCACATTTACTGAATGTATTTTTACTTGTAATACAGTTGTAAATATTATCAATAAATAAAAAAAAAAATTATATTATAAGATAATTATATGAAACTATTTTTACGTGTAGGTTATATCATGTTTCCCGAGGCAAATTTAAATCATCGAAGAATTGAGAGTTGATCTCACTGCATCAAACTTCAAATAAAAAAAATAATTTGTAATGTATCCAGATTATTTGTTAACATATACCCATTTCATTTCTTTTATGTTTATTGAATATTTAATACTTGACCGTTGCTTTATAAAGAAAGGAGATGGTCCGAGGTGGCGGTCCTAAATAGGTTAAATAGTGGCAAAACTATTTTATTAAAATCCATCTTTTCGACCCGACTTTGCAGGTCTTCTTCAAGGAGGTGTGATCAGCTAGGAGTTTCACTTGAAACTGATTGAGTTAAATTAACATTAAAATTAAAATTATATTAAAATTGAGTTTTAAGTGAAACTCCTAGCTGAACACACCTCCCTGAAGAAGACCTGCAAAGTCGGGTCGAAACGTTGGCTTTTAATAAAATAGTTTTGCCACTATTTAGCCTATTTATGGCCGCCACCCCGGACCATCTCCTTCCTTTATTTTATGTATAGAATTAAATTTTTCGTTTAACATTGATTATATTGATAATAATAATTATCACTCATAACTTCATATATAATATAAAATCTCGTTTTTTTTTTTTTGTTTTTTTTCCATAGTCCACTGAGCTACAATGGAAAGTCTAGGCCTATGTCCATTTCACCTGCATTTCCAGTTATGTGGGCATCAGAGGAGATGAGATGGTTGAGAGACTATAGTTCTCCCACCAGCCGCAGCAAAGCCTGAACTAGATGGTAATTTATTGTAATAAATGCTAAGGTATAGAACATAACAGGCTCACAGATGTCTAACTCATAAGAAGAAACACCTTCGAAGCGCCTAGCAATAATTTGGCTGGCATGTATATTTTGAGAGAATGCCGCCATTATAAGGCAATTTCGAATCAGCAAAGTTTGGCAGACGACGTACGTTGTGGCAGATTCTGGATCTAGCTGGACAAAAGTCTAGAAGCAATGGTATCGATGATGAAATATTTCATTCTCAATCCAGACTAATCTGTATAAGAAAGTCGATAAATGATTTGTGAACCATTTTTTTATTTTAATTTCATGAAAATATTTAAATCCTTATATAGCATTACTATGATGAAATATCACTTACACACTTATCATCGATTTGTTTTGGAATTGCCATATCAGTATTCGGCAATACGAGAAATTTCAGAAAACTCACTTAGCACACTTTTTTTCGGATAGTGGCCTGTATAAAAGAATGCATGATTATTGAAAAAAAAAAACTTGTACAACTATAAACCTTAAAGGGTCTTGGGTTCGGTGATTTGTAAAGAAGTATTGTTTCAATGCCAACGGTTGTGCATTAATCTAAGACCACGCTAAACCGTCAGGTATTCTCTGTTAATGAATTATTAAATTAGAAATAGCCACTTTTTAGAGGTTGGGTGTGCCTCAAGGGGGTTCTTCCGATCCCAGACTCGATCCGAAGTGAATATTTCTTTTACATAATTATTGAAGAGAAGTTGATTGGGATTTTCAGTCAATAGGAGTAAAAATAAGCAATTTATAATTATTTTTATTTCTTTAGTGCCGGAGTTTCGGCAGTAATTTGAGGACTTCATCAAAACTAATCTCTCGAAGAATGTTGATGACTAACAAATATGACATACACAGTAAGAAAGTTGTTGATTCATGTAGATTTTAAGTGCCTATAATAATAAATAATAAAAAAATAATAAACGGGTATCTTTAAATACCTTGTTTTTTGCTCTGAGGATGTTCTGATTCAATCTCCGCCCTTTTGAGTATAGCAAACTTCAATAAAAACTGACCTACGATAAAGGAAATCCACCGATACATCGAAATTATTAACAATATCAATAAAAGTATAATTTCTTTCTGGACTCCGGGATACCAGGAAATGAGGCAGCGGATAAAGCTGCTAAAGAAGCTGCTCATCCGAATATCCCACCTCTCCAAATATACGAGCCGAGTGATATAAAAACATTGATAAAAGACAGAGTACGAAAAACTTCAGAGTCCATGTGGAATGAAATCCCACCGACTAATAAACTTAAAAAAATTTTTTTTTTAAAAAGTACAAAACAGAGGGTAAGTATTGGGAGAGGAAACAGAATAAAAGAAGTGGCACTGACAAGAATGAGAATCGGTCATACTAACCTGACTCATGTTCATAACGAAAGAGGCCCAACCATATTTTGATACGTTCCAATCCTCGCTAACCATGAAGCATATAATAGAATATTGTACATTACTGCTTTAAGCCTATGTAAAAAAAAAATACCCAGTTGTAGAGAGCTAGCATTAAAAGACTTTCTAGATTCAATAGAAAATAATATAAATCTTCTAAAAGAAACCCAATTGTACCATAAAATATAAGAATTAATATAATACATGAAAAGAAACAAGAAATTACCTATATTATTACTTATTAAAATATATTTTGAATATATATATATATATATATATATATATATATATATATGTGTGTGTGTGTGTGTGTGTGTGTGTGTGTGTGTCTGATCGCCTAAGACAATCCGTAACCAAACCTAACTTTATTTTTTGCACTTCGTAAACCAACGACTTCCTGTCCTACAGTTTCCTTTAACAATACTCCACTTATCCCTGTTGAGCAAATCCGATACCTAGCACTCCACCTGGACAAACGACTAACTTGGAATCCTCATACTAGACTGAAACGACAAGAAACAGCTCGACGTTTCCGATTACTTCAGGACAAACGCTCTAAACTTCCCATTAATTACAAAAGACTCATATAATTGACTATAATAAGACCTATTTGGACTTACGGAGTTGAGCTATGGGGCTCCACTAAACCATCGAATTTCTCTCCCATCCAATCCTTACAATCCAAAATCCTTCGTAAAATCCTCAATGCTCCTTACTTTGTCACTAATAAAATTATCCATAAAGATCTTAATGTTCCTTATGTGTCAGATCTGGCCCAATCCAGGTACCTATCCTTCCATAATAAACTTCAGAATCATCCCAACCCTTTCGCTTCTAACCTTGCTTCCTCTTCAATTCCTGATAACCCTCCGAGGCGTCTTAAAGAAGATGGCCCCGTGATCTCCTAGAGTGCTACCATTGGGTAGTTACTCAGCAAGTGTATTCATGTCATTATATCAATTATGTCCAAATTTACTTGATGTATTTATGTAATACAGTTGTAAATGTCATGAAGAAATAAAAAAAAATTTTTTTTTTGCACTACATCGTTAAGTAGTAAAAACAATCACATCCTTATACTAATCACTATTAAGAGACTTTTTTCTCCCTGCCTTGCCTTACAGGCAATACGGGTTGTAGTAACAGTGGGGTATTACGCAGGGTATATACGTATGCCACTGCTGGCAGTACAGGTCGATTATATTGAAAATTGCTTAGCATTTATTATTTATAATTGTTATTGTGGAAACTGTGGTGTAGACTTGTGACGGCTGTGCACAAACTCATGACTTTCCTTGTCTCCATTCTTCATCCTTCTTCCACCTGAAGCCGGTCCTCGAAGCAGCTGCAAGTTGTATTAAGGTCCTTCCCTTCTTCTCTGATTAAAATGTGTAGGGCCTACAGCATCTTTCTACCCGTGTACGAATTCCCAATAATGTGGGTAATTACTTCTGCTCATTAGCTCAGGGAACATGCTCTCTGTCAGTGTATATATCACCATCTCTCTCAGGAGCTTAGTCTTTATATTAGTACCCCATAGGCAGTGCATTCGACGGCCACGTGTTCGGCTGTCTCCGGAACGTTGCAGTTGGGGCATAGCTGATCAATATTCTTCCCGGGTTTAACGAGCTTCGCTCGAAAGCCCCCATGTCCCGTGAGGAGTTGAGACTGCCAGTAATCCGGGAGGAGCCATCTTGCATCTAATCATGGCTGGGCCGTGGGGAAGTACTTCCTTAGGGTAACTTCTAGTTGCCATCCATCGTCGGTTCCATTCATCAACTGTGTCCTCTCTGATAATTCTTTTCCATCTTCTTGTGTCTTCATAAATTCTCATCTTTAGATGTTCCGGTTGATCCGCCGAACCTTCTCTTTTTATTTTAAAGAAGTAATGATCTTCTCGTAGGAGGAGATCAACAGGTATCCCCCTTACCAATACTTGCACTGCCTCATGAGACACCCTTCTATAGGTTCTAGTGACCCGAAGTAAAATCAATCACTGAATCGATGCTAACCTACTCTTCTGTCAGTGCGAGAAGTTTGGTTCCATACTGGGGACGCATATCTCACAATACCCAAAACTACTCCTTTGTAAATAGTCAGTGTAGTCCAAGTGAATACAAGTGAGGAGTCAAGTTGAACTTTTGACAAATTCTTATGCCAAGGTAGGTAACAACCTCACTTGGACATATCCTTTCACTATTAAAACATAGAACGAACCAACTTTTCATCCATAATAGGGGTTTATTAGTACTCGAACTATTTTTTCAAATGCCCTCGTATTATTCATGGGTTTTCTTGTTTATTAACATTCTGTCTAATGGTACAAATATATTCCTCATCATAATCTCGAACTTTATTTTTGGACTTTTATCTCGCTAGATTCGCAATTGGCCAGTATTACACAGTGTTTGCACCATGCAGCACCATGAAACTATACACTGTTCAATTAATTTCAATAAATCAACTAATTTTAAAAATAGTAGTTTATTCGATATGATGTCGTCAAACAAAAAAGAAAAAAATATGAGTTTGGGTTCAGTAAGAATTTGAAACTAACAAGTTGAAGTCCAAAGTTATATCGTTCTGAATTCCGTTTCATGGCCAGTGGGACACGAATTTTAATCATTTGGAATGGTGTACACGAACTCGTACACACTGACACGCCTAAGCGGTCTGTCGGTTTGCGGTCAAAGTGAAACCGCTGCGGTTGCCACCGTATCTTGGAGCATTAACGACCCCAAACCGCACTGAGGTTTTCTTCTTACCTTCATAAACTATCTCTCCTAGATATCTTCCTGCATAATCATATCTAATATCCCTTTAATGAACTCGCAAACAACTTTTTCAGTCTGACATCTTTTTTTCTAGAAATATCCAATATATATTTTTTTTAATTTTCAGCACTCTGCACTCGGCTATCCCCTGTGAGTGGACATGGAAGTTTATTAGCGATTACGGAGAATGAACTTATTTAGCCGCATTTTTTTAAGTGACGCGTATTTTTCTGTAAGTTCTATTAAAATGTCAAAAAACATTTTTAAAAATTGATCAAGATTTAAAAAAAAGCATAAGTTATATATATATATATATCTAGCTCTCTATAGAAAGGATAAACAAAGGTACGACTAAGCTTCATGCCGCAAACTGATGAGCAATATATATGAGCAATAGCCGAAGATAGGCAGAGGTGGAGAAGGCTGCTTTAGGCGGCCAAAGATCTACAAGGTCTGTAGAGCAAACCGAAAAAAAAAAAGCTAAAATAAGAATTTATATTGCTCGAAAAATAATTATTGAATTTTATAATAAGATATCTCCCGTTATCAATCATAGTGTCTTTTATTTTTTAATTTTAATATACTATTCCTGGTAATATTTATATTCATTGCACAGACGATGGTTTATATTTAGTAGTGATGCTATAAAACAAAGAAATAAGAAAATCTGATGAAAAATAACGGAGTTACAGAATTATGACCAAAAAGATCTAGTTGGAACCATTGTGCTTCGAGTTGCTGATATGTAACGCCCGAAACGGTGCCGACTGCGAAGGGTTAAACAACTCCTGGAAA